CGCTCTACCATTGAGCCAAACCAGTTTCGGCTGACGCAGGAATATTTTGAATAATTTTGACCTAAAACTTGGAGTCAGGTTATACCATTTGCAACATATATGTGGCAAATATTAGTTTTGTTTCTCTTGGGAGTTTTGGATTTTTATTTATGTATGTATTTATTTTTTTGCATTTTGGCACTTTTGTAAGTCGTGGCATTTTAAAATATTTGTTGACCAGTTACTTCCTTTGTGACTCCTGTGGTTTATACCAAGAAAGTCTTCCCCTTTTCCAAGACAATAAATATGTAAGATATAGGTACTAGTATACAGAGAATGACAGGGAAATTGTGAAAGACTTTGAAATGGGCAAAGAAGGCTACTGGGTGACACTACACCTCCAGGTTATCTGGAAAGAGACCTAGGATAGAACGCAACTTATGAGAGAACTAGAAGCCCAGCGCAAGAAATCGCGCAGCCCCGCCCACCCATACCTGTGTCAAGTCTCTGCTGGCGCTCGCACACTCAGCCTCCTGGTGACCAGTCTTTGGTCGTTCTGCCATGATGGCGTCATGACCATGGGGTTTTTATGATAGAGAAGGATGCCTATGCTAGAATGTATTCCAGTAACCTTTAATCACCAGAATAAATTAACCACAGCCTGCCAGTTTTATTATTAATAAATAGGTTTCTGCTTCCTGAAACTTGGCTGATGCTATGTTATAAGCTACAGGCCAAATTCTGTTTTTATTGTTGTTGTTGTTTTAAATATATTTTTGTTGATTTCAGAGAGGAAGGGAGAGGGAGAGAGAGATAGAAACACTAACGATGAGAGAGAATCACTGATCGGCTGCTTCCTGCACTCCCCGATGGGGGTTGAGACTGAAACCCAGGCAAGTGCCTTGACTGGGAATCAGAACTACCGCCTCCTGGTTCATTGATTGATGCTTAGCCACTGAGCCACACTGGCCTGGCCAAATTCTGATTCTTTAGCAAAGACACACAGCCCCAGATTCTCATGGAAAAAGACTGTGCCAAGTATATTAAACTACTGACATTTCAAAGAATAGTGTCTTGGGTACAAGCTTCTGAGCTGACATTAGACACCTTTCAGGCTGTACTTGTGGAGTGAGTGTGGATTCCCAAGACTCTTCTTAGTCCACGCAACTTTATGAAAGCAGAACGCTAACCCAACGGAACTGCACAAAAGGAAGTGTGCTGATGAAGGAAATTTTACTGTTGTTGTGTTGAGGCTGTGTTAATGCTCTCTTTTCTGGATGTATAGGAGGTCATTTCTCTTTTTTCCTAATCTGTCTGTAACCTACAACAATTCAGTGGACTCTACATTTGTAAAGTGAAGTTAAACATTTTTTTTCTGCTCCTCACTGAATTTCCCTTTACCGCCCCCCCCCCCATTAAAAACCTTTGTTTCATTCCAGCAATATTATTATTTGCATAGGTTCAACAAGAACTTTTATTTCTACCAGTATATATATTTTAAAAATATTCAAGGAAGCCTATAAGTTAATTAAAACTTGTTGAGCTTATGCCAATAATCAGGCCAGACCTAAAGTCTTTAAAAAAAAATTTTTTTTATGGCCGAAACTGGTTTGGCTCAGTGGTAGAGTATCGGTCTGCAGACTGAAAGGTCCCAGGTTCGATTCTGGTCAAGGGCATATACATTGGTTGCGGGCACATCCCCAGTGGGGGGTGTGCAAGAGGCAGCTGGTTGATGTTTCTCATCGACGATTCTAGCTCTCTATCTCTCTCCTTTCCTCTCTGTAAAAAATCAATAAAATATATATTAAAAAATTTTTTTTTTATGATTGAGAATAATCTTAGAGACTTTATTTTCATGAAGGGGTGAGAGAATGGAAAACATTTTGAAAGGTAAAAAAGGTTACTGGGTGAATTTCTCCTTCTGGGTTACCTGATTCTATACAAATTTTGCTACTCCACATCTCTGTCCGTTTTTGTTTTTTGAGTTATTTTATAATTCGGTAAATTGTAGAAAAATGATGGAGATAGAAATTATTATTGCCCAGAGAAGCAAATGGAGTCTGTCTGGTGAGATGCAATTAATTACCCGCTGTGAGGCAGGCCAGGGGGCATCTATCGGGTCTAGTAATAATTAATGTCGTTTTTAAACATTCGTTTAAAATCTTGCTTGGCATTGACTTATATTGACATAACCTTCAAACACGTATCTACAGAATGTGTGAAGTGCAATTAACAAGTTTTGCTTGAAAAAATTTGTTTGGTTTGGTTTTTGTTGCAAAACTAGGGCTAAGAAGATGGCAGATGAAGAGCATATTCGGCACTGCATGCTTTACAAGTTCCAATTAGGAAGAAAAGCAAGTGAGGCTGCAAAAAACATCTGTAGTGCTCTTGGTCAAGATGCAGTTAGCGCCAGAAAATGCCAGTAGTTGGTTTGAGAAATTTCGCGAGGGAAATTTTTCGTTAGATGACAAGAGTGGTCGAGGCCGTGTGTCCAATTTTGATCAAGAAGCTCTTCAAGCTCTTTTGGTGCAAAATCCTCAAATTACCCAACAAGAGCTTGCGACAACTTTAAATTGTTCACAAAATACAATTTCCAATCAATTGCGTGCACTTGGCAAAGTCCAAAAGTTTGGAAAATGGGTTCCTCATGAGTTGACCGACAACAACCGTAATCAAAGAGTCACAATTTGCAGTTCGCTCCTCTCTCGTCAAAACCGTTTGCCGTCTTTAGAGCAAATTGTTACCGGAGATGAACAATGGGTGCTGTATGTTAATTTGAAAAGGCGGCCTCAATGGTTGGACAAAAATGAGGCTCCGCAGCCCACGCCAAAACCTGACTTGCATGCGAAAAAAGTGATGTTGTGTGTTTGGTGGAATTTTAAAGGAATTCTTCATTATGAACTTTTACCATCTAACCAAACCATTACAAGTGCAGTGTATAGTGCCCAATTGGAAAGGTTAGCCCAAGCTTTAAGAGAAAAAGAACCCGCGCTGATTAATCGGAAGGGCGTAATTCTTCACCACGATAACGCACGACCGCATACTGCAAGTATCACTGCTGAAAAACTGCACCAGTTGGAATGGGAAGTTCTCCCTCAACCTGCATATTCTCCTGATATTGCCCCTTCTGATTACCATTTGTTTCGTTCTTTGCAAAACTTTCTTCTTGGAAAAAAATTTAATAATGAAGAATGCCTCAAAAATGCATTGACCGAATTTTTTGCATCAAAATCACAAGAATTTTACAACAGAGGGATTAAAATGCTTCCTGAGCATTGGGCACAAGTAGTAGAAAACAACAGCAACTATATTGTTGATTAAATTTTGTTGTATTGTTTAAATAAATTCGATTTAAAAAAGTATTAGAAAACGACATTAATTATTACTAGACCTAATATTAGCAAATTCACTTCACTTCCCGACTGCTCATACATGTGCCTGTTTTTTGAATTCTCCTTTGAACCATTTTTAAACATCTTTCTTGTTCCTTCATTAATTATTAGCTAAATTAAACTTTTGTCTCATGATGACTTTGTATGAGAGTAATAGCTTTACATTTGTAAAAGAAATACATATTTACCTGTGGGTCATGATTAACGTCTGTAATGTTTGGACTCTCTCTGGATAGAAGGGACAATATAGAGATCTCACTTCATTTTCTTCAAAAAGCTAGTCATTTTTTCACCATTCATTCAGTAGCCTTTATTTTCCCTGTTGACTTGAAAGACCACTATTCTGGTGTTATTTGGATCCTTTATGTATGTGTTCTCTATTATGTTCTATTGATATTTTTCTTTTTATTTCCACATTTATATAAATCCATTTTAAGTGCTATACACTTTGATAATTTGACAGGTTATTTTGACATTGCACTGACCCTACTGAAAAATAACATTGTCCTGCCAATTTGAATTAGTCTAAAATGAAAAGGTAGAACGTTGGTATACAACAAATTGGCCTCATTATTTGTGCCTCATCCACCCCTCTGACTATCCTAACCAGGCAGAACACAATTATAACTCTAAAAGTAACAGAGATGCAAAGTTATCAGTAAGTCCCTGGTTTGTCTCATAGGGGAGGAGGAGAACTGTACCCAGACAATTATGTGTAAAACGGGCCGAGGAGAACAGTGTTAGCAGACACTCAAGGAGCCATAATGGGAGAAGTCAGAGCCATCAAAAGCACAGGAGGACTGGGGGCCTTTGATTTAGAGCAAAGCCTGCAGTAGCCTTTTGGATGTATGCTTGGGTTTGAAAGTGATAATTGCACCCTTCGGCCCTGGAGTTTTGGTCAATTAGGAAATACAAACAGGAGACACATAAGGATAAAAAATGCCAGCTGTGTTGCTAATGACGCTAGGTTAGAGTACACTCCTTGGATTCCGGTGCCCCAAATTCTTACCCGAGATCCGTGTATGCACCCGTGTAGCTCTGCAGAATGGACTGTCTCCAAGGGCAGGTCGGGGAGAGCCAACATGGGCCACACACTGTCATGCCACGAAGGCCCAGTTGTTCATGCACCAGCTGTGCACAGAAGGACTCTGGATAGCAGACTCTGGCCACCTTGCTGGTCTGACAAAACTTTCCCAAGATCACAGAGTGGAGCTAGTGATGGACCAGAACAGGCCAGGCTGCAGCTTTCCCCTCAATGGTTCCCCGATAAATAGCAACAGGGGTAGAATTTCCTGTTTTATGGTTGGCTTTCATGCAGGGAGAGGAAGACTGGAGTCCCTCCTACCACATAGCACAAAGTGTGATACCTGTCAAGTTGAGCATGAGTTTAAAATGTTATGGTCAACCTACTCTGGTTATGGAGAAATATGTAATATGTTTCAGACCAGATAAATCACTATCAGAAGTATTTTTTAAATATAAGCTTTCAGGAGCTCCCAGTGTTCCAGAATGCTGACAAATGTGTGCAAATCTGTCTGTAATAACTCTGAACAGTGTGTATAGTAAGTACTCCATAGCCCTCTCTTGTAGTATGGTATCTCCCCCCAAAATAAACACAAAATTCATAAATACTTTTAGTTCATGTTTTTAATGTTTAAAAACTATGTTAATAGAGCAATTATAGAACAGAACCTCTTACATTTCTTTATTTACACCACATCCTGGGGGGGGAAAAGACCTCTATTTGATTAAGCATGGATAGCAGTTTGGTGACCTATGACTCACTTAAGTCATGGCTCTGAAATCCACTTACAAGGTTTTTACATGACTGAAGAGTGGTGTGCTGCATGTACTGGACTTACATGAAGTCTGAAATACACTGGACTCGAGAGTGGATTACATCCCAATGATGACGAGTGACATGTTTGGGGAAAAGATGACTTAAGACAGTCTATGTTCGGGTCAACATTGAAAATATAAGGCAAACATGCAAGACTTTCAAAAGCTTGATAAAGTGTTGTGTTTTTTTTCCCTCCTTCAAATTTGTGCTCTTAGTTAATGTTCAAATTCTTTCCCCTTTCCCAAGATCCCAAAGAATGGGAAATGTAGCAATTCAATTTTGAAAAAAATAAAAACATTCTCCTTCCCAAACTTCTGTTTTTATAAATACAGTGTATTAGGAAGAATAGTGTGTCATTTTGGGTAAATCTATTTCTATAGACAATAACTTGGTCTAAATATTCCTTAGTTGTAGCTCAGAGGACTAGCTTTTAAATAATTGATCTTAATATCATTTAAATGATTGATCTTAATGAAATCAACACAACTATTTCTTAGACACTTCTTTCTAAACAATTAAAGATTTTTAGAATCCAAGTTTACATTGAGAGAACTATGTTACCTGGCGGAGGATGTAAATTTTTCTAATTCCCCCCAAACCCCACTAATATCTATGAAAACTTTTATTCTTGATATGCAGACAATAGAGACTTCTATTTCAGTGTGAATCAATAATTGCAAAAATATACAGCCTCCTATTTATTTACAGTATATTTACATACAAATGAAGCATTTCCTACAAGCCTCAGCTGCATAGATACTTTTTTAAACACACAAATTCTGTCTGTACACAGATGGGCCCCATTTCACAGATTTTTCTCTGAGAAAACCCAAAAAGAGAATTTGACATATTTTTCGAGAACGTTCCCTTTTAGATATGGTGATATTATTTTAGTTGCTAGCCACCGTACCCACAAGTTGTACCTGTAAGCTTTGTATCAATAAATACCTGTAATTAACTGTATTTTAAAAGAAGTATGTTCTGTTGCTGAAGGATTCTCAGATCTGCTATCCCAAAGGAAATCATTTGTTAGCATTGCTGAATGCTAGAGTCCGTATCTCCTTTGTTTTGAAAGTAGCTGGAAGTTTACTACGAACTGGAGTGGAGGAATTATATCCTCGTGCCCTTTCTAAGCCTCAAGCTGTTTACATTGACAAACTGAGAGGAACTAATGGCTTTGGTTCGAAGGCATAAAATGAAGTATCTGATCACAGACTGACCTCCTCCCCAGCCCACTCCGCGGTGCCGCCCAGCATTCTGACACTCTGAGCTCCGTGTGCTTTTCAAAGCAGTTTGCAGCTCCGTGTTCAGTGCAGGCCTTTCGGCAAGGAATTCACTTTACCAAGAGGACAGGACTGATCACCACCCAATGACTCAACATTCTGCAGAACTTACTCCTGATGTGCACTCAGAAATTCCTCTAAGGCTGCGTTTACAAGGGGCCTGTTCTTTCAATTCCACTAAAAACAAACAAACACACAAACACACAGGAACTCCTCACTCTTTTCACAGCTCTAAAAAATGTGGCCTTATTATGCCTCGGCCCAACGTCTTACAAGCGTGCAAGCAGCTGCCATACAACGGAGCACCTGCAGCAGCCGTGCCAGTGGGAGGGGAGGAGGCTGGGGCTGGGGCCTGTCCCTGCCCCCAAGTCCTGCTTCCCATTTCTTGTCCCAGGAGTCCTCTGAACCATCCTCTGGGTAGGACTAATGGGAGAACAAAGGGCAGACAGACTGGCTCAGTGCTACACTGATCCCCAGGAGGGCTTCTCAGCTCCTCCAACCCCCCAGCTTCCGGTTTCACTGGGCCTGGGGTGGGGCCTGAGAGTTTGCATTCCAACAAGTTCCAGGTGCGGCTGCTCTGAAGGCCACACTTTGAGAACCACTAGCCTAGAGGCTCAGTCCACACTCCCGTTCTGGGTTCTGGGGTAACTGCCTGTGGTGTCCTCTGAAATACCAGGGAATCCTACCACAGGCCTTTGTCCACCTCAAGCCATAACCATCACATCACCCAGGCTCGCCGTTCTCAACAGAACATACAAATATAGAAAAGGGAAGTGGTAGAAAGCTTTTCCACCCCCAGCTGATGGCCGGGCAGGGAACCTGCGATTCGCTAGCATGGAACCCGTTACAAGTGCTGTCTGATGACTCCAATGACTGGCATGTGGGAGAGACTATGCAGCAACATCCTGTGTGTGTGTGTGTGTGTGTGCAGGGGGCAGGGAAGGAGATGAACTATAGGAGCACAAGGTCCTATAACGGAAGCAGACAGGCCAAACCTGTGACCTCCAGAGAAAGGAAGGTATCAGCTGAGGAAGGTCCCTGTGGGTTACAACTCACAAGAGGCCCCTCATCCTCCTCCTCACTCTGCCTACACTGGGTTCTCTGGTGGCCCCGGGCTTACTCTCCCCCTCCTCTGCTGGAGACCCTGCTTCAGGCCACTCTGGTCACCTCCAGATGGGGGTGCCCCTACACTAAGGTGACCAGATCTTCCCGCTTTTGGCGGGACAGTCCTGATTTCTAACAATTTGTCCCGCGTCCCGCGGCATTTCAAAAAAGTCCCGATTCTGCCGAAATCGGTTTGGCTCAGTGGATAGAGCGTCAGCCTGTGGACTGAAAGGTCCCGGGTTCGATTCCGGTCAAGGGCATGTACCTTGGTTGCGGGCACATCCCCGAAAGGGGGTGTGCAAGAGGCAGCTGATGGATGATTCTCTCTCATCGATGTTTCTAGCTCTCTATCCCTCTCTCTTCCTCTCTGTTAAAAAAAAATCAATAAAAAAATATATTAAAAAAAGTCCCAATTCTTTCCAAAAATCGGGACTGTTTTAAAACACTGCAGGATGAGGGACAAATTGTTAAAAATCGGGACTGTCCCGCCCAAAGCGGGACGTCTGGTCACCTTACCCTCCACCCATTCATCCAGCAGGTATGTGTCACTGCGGTGGGCGACCCAGAGTCCACTAACAACAGGAATGACATATTCTTGGCAACACTGAACGAATACCCCTAGAAACAATATATGTGTAGTGGTTAGTTTCTTTTAACAACCTTATTGTATTACCCAATTTCAGCTGAACTATGGGTTTAATCACTTTTTCTAGCTGGTCTGGGGGCCTAACCACCATGTATAACAGGAAATACATTCCAGGTTGCAAATAATCATCTGAAAGTTTCCCAGTATGATCAGCTTGTAAATTGGGACTGCCTCTGCTTAACAAGACTAGACTTCTTTCCTATTCACACATTCCTACCCCCACGTCCATTGGGTAGCACTAAGGAAGTCAGGGATTTACATCAATCTGTATCGTAATAACCAGAGAACAGTTCTCAATCCAAAGTATAAAACTGGCACTGCTCGCTAGTCCTGAGATCTGGCTTCCAAAGGAAAACATGCTGCTCCCGGTGGCTTAAGCTGTACTATTCTTTAGTCTACTAACTGAGCAGAAAAACGTCTACAGCACTTGACTGTGTTATTTAAATTCTATCTAACATCTGTGATACGTGTATTTTTGGCTACCAGTTCACTATTCTGAACAAGATTAAGAGCACTATACTGTATAGCTATTCCCACACAAATGACATAACCCGTGGTATTTGACAAACTACAGTAGGGTCTATTGTATTCAGTCAACAGCAAACTTAGATAAACATACAAGGAGTATTTTAAAAACCTGTGGTATCCTAGACATCTACACGAATGTGCCTCCTCTAAATAAATACCTTTTAAATAATAATTATTCCTTTACTGACCCATAAAATCCGGAGATCCAAAAATAGCATTACACATCCTTTCTCCCTCAAGAGTTAATGATAATTTTCTAAATTGACTTTGGGGGTGTAAGATGAATTGTAACTTAATGAGGAAAATAGGAAGCAGAAAAATATGGCTGGAAATGGAAGTATTATTATTGTCGTTGTTATGTTTCAGTGGAGGGCCATCCCACTATCTGATATTTTATTACTTGGTGCTCTAGACAAGCCTCCAAGGGCCAACTGACTTGACTTGTTTTGCTCAGTTTCTCTCCCTGCTCACCTAAGACTAAGGTGACCAGATGTCTCGATTTTTAACAATTTGTCCCACGTCCCACAGCATTTTTAAAAAGTCCCGATTTTCTTAAACGGGACGCGGGACAAATTGTTAGAAATCGGGACTGTCCCGCCAAAAACGGGACGTCTGGTCACCTTACCTAAGACATTCCTTTCATCAGTGTCTTCCACCTTACTGGGTTAGGTATTCATGTCTAAGTGCCTGAACTCTGACCTAATGTGAATGTGATTAAAGCTATGATGACCCTCCCTTCTCCCAAAGAGGATTGGAACATGGTGCCTCTGCCATGGGACAGAGGTGTGTGTGTGTGTGTGTGTGTGTGTGTGTGTGTGTATGGGGGTTGGGTACCATTCCAGGGAGCTCCCAGGGCGTGTGGAGGCTTCTGGGAATGTGAATGAGAGAGGAACAGAAGCCAGAGCTCAGTGCCTGGAAGCCTTGCCAAGAGTCTACGGCTAGTGTCTACTTATCACAGGATAAGAAATCCGTGCTTGGTGACCTTCTGTGTTTGAGAAATTCAACCAGAATCTAGATGAAAACACAAGGCCTTTGCCAAGAGACCAGCTCACGGAGCACACACATTTCTTACTGTGACATGGACAAGCCGACCACAGGGGATGGCCCAGTTCTGGGGTTCTGGTCTTCATTCCTTTCCAACTACCTGTCCCAAACGCTCTCCTCTCCTTCCTCCCGCCCCCTTTAGAAGAGGGGCTGGGGTATGAGTGTGGGGCAGCTCCACCCTGTATGGGGTACGTGGGGCAGGCAGGAACAGCCCAGCCTTAGCTAGAAGCGAGGAGGAACAGCATGGATACCGAGGTCCTCCTGGGGGAAAGGAAGGTACTCCGTGATTTTTGTCCCAAGTTCTCCTCAAAGACTATCTCTGGGGGTTCTTTCTTTTTCTAACACTCTGGATGGACTGTTAATGGAGAAGAAATAGGAATGAGGCTTATTTAAGATACAAAAATCTTGTATTTATAATAACCTAAATTTATAGGTAAAAAACAAGTCTTTTAAAGACACCCTCCCTCCCCCTAAAGTACCCAATATAAAACAGGAATTACTTAGATCATCCTCAGTTAGATACAACTTCTTCCCTGTGCAAAAAGCTGCTGGGGTATGATTTACTAGCCAGAAAACGTTTCTCCCTTCAACAACCCGGTGTAGGGTTGAAGGTATCTATCTGCATCAGAGGAATCTTCTCTTAGGCATTTTGGAGAAACTTTCTGCAGCAATCTTGCTCCTCCTTTTATGACAAAGGTGTTATGAGACTCCCCCAGTAGAAATGGACTCAGGTCAGAGTAACTTTGACACAAGTTGCCAAGAGGGAAACAAAACGTAACTTGCTAGATTCCCCACCTGTGTAGCTTAATGTGTTTACCAAGGTAAGAATCATTTCCACTCCTTTCCAGCTGACAGGACACTGCACCAGGGAATGTCTTTGTATAAGGTGACCAGACGTCCTGATTTTTAACCATTTGTCCCGTGTCCCGCGGCATTTTAAAAAAAAGTCCTGATTTTTTGGAAATCGGGACTTTTTTAAAACGCTCCAGCACAAATTGTTAAAAATCGGGACTGTCCCGCCAAAAGCGGGACGTCTGATCACCTTATCTTTGTATGAAATGGAGAAGAGTCCCGGGGAGACCACTGGTCTGCCTGCCGGAGATCAGAACCACCTCCAATCCCGGCAATGCATGCACCTGCGACTCCCGGACTACGATGACCCCCGTGTGCTATGTTAACCAAAATAGGCAAATTATTTATGAAACCTTTTTTTTTCTTCTGTAAAGCAAAATAAATATATACAATTCAAGATTATTTTCTCTTCTAAAAAGATACAGATAGTGTGAGCTGAACATCAGTAGGAAAATTACTTCAGAATCTGATCTATCATAAATAAACATGATTGGTGATCATGTTTTCAAAGTTCTAAGAGACCATGAAGTCACAAAACACCGAGTTAGGAGAGTGGAAAAGTAACTGACTGTGGAAACTACTAGGAAATCTGATTCCATGAAATTTGAAGGGGGGAAAAATAATCCATGATCCTTAGATTGATCCTAGATCTCAGAGGGACACGAACCAGTATAGAAACAGGTTTCTGTTTTGCGACCAAAGTGGGATTCCATTTGAAGTATCCTGTAAATTTCTGTTTGCTTCTGTAAACTTGCAAAGGGAGGGACGAGGGTTGCGGATGTGTGGTCGGTGACTGGACTGAGCAGCGGGCGGGAAGATTGCTGGCTCCCAGCCGGTCTCAGTGGCCTTCGTCGCTCCCCGACGAGCAGGCCCAGTCGTAGATGACCAGGGGGATGCTGACCAGGGAGAACAACACCCCCAGGCCCAGGAAGAGGGCCGCCTGCAGCAACAGAGAGGCACGGGTTATTCCAGCGAAGCACACGTTTCCCACACGCACCTCAGAAAGAAGCATCCATGCTTCCCCTCTCCTCTGAGCACCCGTGTATTTGGAGTCTGTGACAATCACGGTGGGACTGTGAGGATCTTTCTGAAACTGCGTGTAAGTCTAATTTTCCAAGGGCGGGAAAGTAAGAAACAAACTACACAGAGCCTCCTCGACGTTCTGTTTTTTTTGAACTGGACGCACTTGCCCTGAGATTCGGTTTTGAACTTTGTAAGCCACATGGGAGAGGCTTGGCACCTCTGCATTGCGTGGGTGAGAGGGCAGTGGAGAAAGATTCTCTGACACACTCGTTCCTCGACAGTTTCTTTCCGACTAAGATTACGACTTTAAAAAAAAAAAAATGGCTTTGGCAAACATACAGGTCCTTTCATCTCTATCAACCAACCTAAGTTATCGCTGGTAGGCAAACATTTCTGTTTGAAACGTGGAAAGAGATATAAAAAAGCAAAGTAAATTTGATCAAGTGATTTAAGAAGCAGTGTCAAAAACTAAGTGACGTAAGTAATAATTATGTAGGGGGCCGAGTGAGTACTGAAAATATTGGGGGGGCGGGGGGGTGCGGCGTGCACTTTGTAAAGTATGTGAGTGTCTAACCACTACGCTGTACATGTGAAACTAATACAAACTAATACTGAAGGTAAAAAAGAAAACATCTAAATTACTTCAGGGGGGCAGACAGATCATTAAATACAGAATCTGGAGAACACAGGTTATAAATTGTGTGGCCTTGAGACTACCCAATGAGAGCTCCACGGGGAGAGGGAGGGAGCATCATGAGAGCCACGGGGCTGCCCTGGAGCCTGGAGGAAGGGCTGAGGGCAGGGGGGGAGTGGGGGTGGGGTTCAGAGGGATGCATCTGGGCTCACCACCACGGCGTTGGTCTAACTCCCAGTGGGTCCTCAGATGGACAGGAGCCCTTGCCTAACGCTATTCAGTAGTTCCTACTGCCATTTTATCATGGGAGCTGGGTTGGGGGGAGCCCAGAGCATTCCTGAAAGATCTTCATGAAAGATCTGAAAATGGTAGAGGCTCCTTCCTCTCTCACCTAGTGAAGCAACTACTGGTAAGGACTAGAAGGGCATGGGATTTGCGGCTTCAGGGGTCACCCTGAGGGGGACAGAAGATGCACCAGCGCACAAGGATGATCCCTCCTGCCTCCGCCTCCTAACCGGGCCTGTGGACTCGGGCGATAGGTGCGATTGGAGTCTTACACTATCTGGGAGGGCAGCGGAGAAGCCAAACAAAATGGTGCTCCAGAAGGTACCCAGGCAGCAGCCACTCCACCCTGCTCCCTCACTGTCTCCAAGTGCAGCACCTTGAAGATGCCCTTGAACTTCACCAGACCTGGAAACAAGAATCCCGATACAGAAAGGTAGTTTCTGAATCCAGGTCTGTGGCTCCAAAGCATTTCTGTCAAATCCTAAAAGGACTCTTTGCGCTAACTCAGCCGTTTAGAGTGAGCATCACATGCTCCCTGAGCTAAAGGTAGGCCATCCCCTCAGAGAGACAGGGCGACAAACAGCCAGCCTTCCAGCTGGCCCCGCCCCCGCTCAGAGCAAGCGCAAAGGCACAGCAAGAGTTTAATACCTGAGCCGGTATTGGGAGGAAGTAGAGAGGCTTCTGATAAGGTATTTTAAATCTCCCACAGGGGAGAACCACACAACTGCTGCCTCCCTTTGAGGCTGCTACAGGCAGTCTTAGATGGCAGAGATGGACTATTTGATATTTGGCACATTTAAACAACAACAAAAAAACTGATCAGAAAAATTGGGGTGGCTGGCAATAAGACTTACCCAAATTCTTTGAGTTCCTTTATCCTCATCCTGGTTTGTGATTTTTAAATAAAGAGATGAAGGAAGAATGAAAATAAGCATATTAGCAGATGTAACTCCTGTAAAATAAGAAAGAAAAAAGTTTGAAGTCGCTGCTGTGAAATGCCAGCTTCTTCACTCGCCGCTGCAGAGGAAGTGTGAAGTCCTAGAGCCATACCTACAACCCCGAAGATATCCTTCATGGAGGGGATGAAGATCACCAACAAGTTGATAATGACCAAGAGTACGATGGTCACGAAGATGTGACGACACAGATTAAACTTTGTTTTCTTAGCCAGTTCGAATAAAGACGAACGAACCTGCGGGAAAAGAAGACGAAGACTCCGTAAGGGCCTGCAGCTCGCCAAACTCACGCTCTCAGCAGCAACTCCCACATCGGTGCACAGGGATTTGTGAAATGTTCTGTAATTTATTGATAGCATAACAGTTTGGGAAGCAGGGGGCTTGAGTGAAGGTGGGAACGTGCTTTTTATTTATAAATAGACTAGAGGCCGGATGCACAAAATTCGAGCGAGAGAAGGCCTTCCTTTACCCCGGCGGCCGACGCCAGCTCCCCTCTGGCGCTCGGGACCCAGGCTTCCCTCGCTGCCCTGGCTTCATCCTGAAGGTCGTCTGGTCTAATTAGCATATTACACATTTTATTATTATTATAGATTTTCCTTTTTAAAATACGTTTTTTATTGATTTTACAGAGAGAGGAAGGGAGATGGAAAGAGATAGAAACATCAACGATGAGAATCTCTGATTGGCGGACTCCTGCACACCCCCTACTGGAGATCGAGCCCACAACCTGGGCAGATGCCCTGACCAGGAATTGAACAGTGACCTTCTGGTTCATGAGTCAATGCTCAACCACTGAGCCACGCCGGCCGGACAATAGATTGTTTTCTCTCAGGGGGAATAACTTCTGTTTTTGTTTTTTCCGTGGCTAAGGGTTCTCTCCTGGTCCTCCCACATACTCTGATTGTGTATGATCGAGATTCAACCATTCTATCTACATTTCTCTATTTAAAAAAAAAAAATGAGGGACAGATCAATTAGAATTAAGATTCCTTCCACTGGAGTCCACCCCACATTGCAGATCCCACTTTCTTCCTGCAGAATCTGCACGGAGTCTTGGGCTCCTTCCCCGAGGCAGTTCCAATGACACAGGAAAGCTACCTGCTACGGGCTCTCTCTGGAACGGGCTCCTGAGACCGAAGGGGGGAAGGTGAGACCTCCGCATTCCTCAGATGACACCGCGGCTTCACTCACCGTGAAAAACAACACCGGCACCGTGAGGATGACAGCCACGATGACCGCCACCCGCACCGTCAGGATGAGGATGTCGTCCTTGCTCTGGTACTTGTGAAGGAGATCCGAGCGGACGTTCTCTGAAGTGAGGGAGAGAGGGTATGGAGAGGAAGCCAAGCACACTCTGAACAACAGCTTTCCGAACAACGAATGTGCCGGCTGACGGGCAAGGCAAGGAGGGTCTGGGTGGTCGGGAAAAGCAGCGTATGGCGGTGAAAAGAGAAATGCCCGAGTGAGGCGTGCCCCACCATCCATCACACCTTTAACCAAAGGAATTTATTCTCATCATGAGAAGATGCTACACAGAGTGGCTACATTCAATTTATACTATTGGATAAATTAATCCTAGGAGTACTCTGGGATTAAAAATAGCACAGGTTGAAGCACAAAGCTATTCTTAATTTAGATTTTCTCCCACTTGGTGCCGCTCATCCTGAGTGGATGGGTGGACTGCAGGCCACTCAGAGACTCTTTCAAACTTTCCTCTTACTGCTCAACTTTTAGGGGCCAAGCAGCAGGGGTGCCAATGGGACTTAATCACCATCAAGAAATAAATCTTTAAAAAAGAGAAAATAAAAAAATTCTTCTCAGCACTCTCTCCTCCAGGAGGCACACCCAAGCCATTCTCTTTCCCCTCTCTTCTTCCCCCGTCCCCCACCATATATCCCCCTAACATCTAAGGGACCCCACGAGACTTGCAACCAGGCTAGCAATGAGCAGCAGCAGCTTGTCCCAGGTCAATCCCCTGAACCTATCTTCCAGGGCCCCTTTTTTCTGACTTCCCAGTGAGCTCAGAAGCCTTCCCCGTCCCCCCGCCCCAGGCTTTCCTGTCGCTTCTTCTATGCCCTTGCTTCACTCTTCTAAGAATATTTTTGCTGCAGTCAATAAATGCTTGCTTGGTTTTCTACAAAAACAAAACAAAACAACAACTAAAAAAAGAAAAACAAGCAAATAAAAGAAATAATTCTTCTCTTTGGTGAATTTTTTTCTTATTAAAAAAAGAAGAGAGAGAGAGAATTTTGCTTATGTACCACTTTAAATTTTTCTCAAGTCTATACCTCAGGAAATGTTATTTCAAAGACAACCAAAGCTAGCATGGCAGCTGCTGAGAGCAAGCGTGCTCCCTGCAGTCTCCTTTCCAGGGCTTCTCGCTGCCCCTCGGATGTCAGTCCCTTTAGTTTTCTGTGCCATCCCTTCACCCCCTTGCAAGGCTCCAACCTCCGGTGACAAATCAGGCACTTTATTTTTAATTCATGTGAAGTTTCGTGAGTGTGGCACTCAGCTCTTTCTCCCGTTCAGCATCTGTCTCTTTCTCTCTATTAATGGAACCTGACCCCATTCGCAACAGCAATTAGGAAATTCTCTGATATAGTTTTCACTTTCCTCAGTGCAGGTGGTGTGCTTATAAAATGCTCTTCCTTTTAAGGCCAGTATGAGGGGAAAAACATTACAGTATATTGTTTCGGTAATTATTCCATTGTGCAGTCCGCGTGAATACGGAAAGCAGCCAGTGTCATTTGGTTTACGTAGAAGAAGAGACAGCACAATCAATGGATAGATGCGTTGCTTTTTTAACTGGCATGCTGAAAGTTGTTTTAATCATGATTTTTACGATTCACTTACAATGACCTACATTTATGTACTGACGGAAGTTTCTTACCATAGAATGTCAAGTAGCCAAAAATGGCGGTCAAGAAGTACATCACAAACATGGCAAAAAAGGAGATATTCGAAACCATCTGCATCCTTTTCTGGGATCGACTAAAAACAAAGATAAAAGCATGTGAAAAATTAAAAACCATGTTACTGAGTTTAAAGACCAGTGTTAACACGAAAGTGTTTATGGGAACTTCACTGTCTATCAGGGTAGGGCAGATCTGACCAGCTGAAATCATCCCAGGCAAGTATGCCGGTTTAGAATTTACACCCAATGGGTGTTGAGTGAGAGCAACCCAGGGTACTAGCAATTCCTTGAGTGCTCTGACCCATTCTTTTGAAAGAATGAGTTCTCATCTGAAGGGCAAAGGGCATTTTTAAAAATACTTGTGTCTGATATTTTCTCCACAGTGAGCGTTCACAGGAAAGAAGGGCGGAGCTGGAACCTGACCTCAGGGGTGCTGCTGCTAATGCTGTTACTTGGGTTCCAGTGTTCCCACTGAGTGGCCCCAGAGGTGCACCTAGAAGTCTGAATGTCTCCACAGCAGGAAGTACCCAAACGATCACAGAAGGTGATGATGAAGGGCTGTCTCTGAGGTCAAGTTTACTCTGAGGGTTTGCATGCACCTTTAAGTGGTTTTAACTGCCTGGATAATTAGTCTACAAGACTTGCTCTCAATAACAGACTACCAATAGTCAGATTTGGTTGTGTCACAACAGGGAGTATGGAAGACAAGAAACAATGAGATGTACACACGAGAAAATTACAAACTAAAAGCTGGGCTATAAAATTTAAAAGATGCCAAAGACATAATTAAATACCCTAAATACAGGATCATGAAGTTATCATTGATATTGGTACATGTAAATATTTCAAAATTTACTTATTCGATTAAATAGGAAAGAGGAAGAATCATGAGTGAATCCAATGCTGAGTGACATCCACTTTATTTTTGTTTCAAAATGGTATATTTTAAATATACAAAATAGCTATATTGTATATCTTTTCTGAGCTTAAGACTATGCCATAATGACTTTTCGTATGAAGTCGGTAACAGTAAGCTATAAAGAGAACCAATGAGGCAATGAATAAGTAGGCCTTTAGCTTTCTCCAGAAGAGCAATAAAAAATGAATCCATAGAATCATTTATCATTTACCATAGAATCATTAATAATTTAAAATGACCAACAAAATTCTTTTGTTTAGTTTGTGGTCTTAGCATTAAATTCTCTCTGCCTTTAGATGAAAAAGGTTTACCAGCCTTTTCTGTCTAAACCAACAGGCAAACCAGATATCACGTGAAGAGAGTGCCTGGGAAGGCACATGAGCACTTCTTTAATTATTGTCGGCTGAATCCAGTGGTGTTGGCAGAGCCTCGTCCTGGAGATGCACCGTGCCAGAGGCAGGTACGTTGTCAGCCTGACCCTTAGCTCAGGTGCCCGGGGGTGGGGGGGTGGGGTGGGGTGTGTGTTTCACTATCTAAGTGCAGCCAGGCGCAAAGAACAGGCACAATTATCCGGGCTTAGCCAGGAGCGATGATTACGAAGAAGCCACAGGAATGAAAAATTATAGCTGGATCTTTAACCATGATTTCTCATAAGTTCCTTTGTTTTACACTTTAGTAAAACTTCCTGGAACCCTGCTGTACATAATAAACACGCTGCACCAGCTCTGGGTCACTATCTCTCCATCAGAGCACAGCTGTCCCACCGGGTCCCAGCTTTCCCTCCTGTCTCTGTGTTTGTCTCTTTCATTGTAGAGAAATTAATAATCAGGTGTTTGGCAGTATACAGATATTGAATCTGAAGATCATTATATTCTACCTGCCAAGGAAATATTAGTAACATAAAGCAACCCATATACTTGAACTCTCCTAAGAATACAGTATTTGAAAAACCAGTTTAACAACAACAACAAAAAGCCTACATAGTGTACCACTTTATATATTTACATCCAAATATATTTCAAGTTTCTGGTTTCAGTTCCTCTTTTATTTTTTTTCTTTCTTAAAATGCAGAACTTACTCAAGAATGGTAGAAAGTAAATGTTAAAACTGGGTGGAGTTCGTGGGGTTCATTACATGAGTCTGTTTATTTTACTACAGGGCTTGCCTATTAATGAGGGGCTATAAAATGACCAAGGTAAATAAAAAAACAAAACTCTTACTCTTTAAGCTCGCTGTAGATTGGCAGGACTGACGGATGGCAGACAAATGCAAATGCAATAGTAGGTAGAGCATACACAGTCTATTTGAAAGAAGAAAGATAAACATTAAAAAAAAAAAGGTATTTTTGTCATAAAATTATTCAGTTCCAGTATTTCTAAGCTGTAGTTTTGTCTGACAGCTCTTCTGAATCCTGGATTATTTGGGTATTAGGAGGGCTTTGATATCTAAAATAGGAACAGCTTTCCAAAGAGAGTTTATCTAGCTTGAGACATCAGCCCCTTGGCTCAGAGGGGTTTGAGACACAGCTAACCTACAGCGTATTTTACACCCTCCAGACACAGCATAACCCATTTTTATATGGCGCTAACCAGTTACAGTGTACTCTCCCTACACTGTCTCTCGGAATTCTATAACACCCCTGAGCAGCAGGCAGGCTGCTGCTGTTCTCCAGACTCCCTCCAGCAGGTCAGGCAACATGCCCAGGACTTCTACTCCTATTTGACTGCTCTTTACTATATATATAGAGGCTGCATCTAATCAGACTTAAAAGGTGGCTTCGAAAACAAAATTAGTTCCACATTCACTACTTTGGCTTCATTCTTAAGACTTAAAAGAGAGGCAGAGAGCAATAGACAGATCTGTTTTCTTAGATATGACTTTTTAAAACTTCCAAACATAACTCTTTAAAAAAAAAAAAAGTAATAACTTCTTTTTAAAAATATATATTTTTATTTCAGAGAGGAAGGGAGAGAGAGGGAGGGAGGGAGGAAGGGAGGGAGGGAGGGAAGGGGGAGAGAGAGAAAGAGAGAGAGAGAGAGAAAGACATTTTCACAGAAAATGCTTCAAGTTGTCCTACATGTAAACGGGATTAAGAGGGAGCATGAACTATAATATTTGCATATTTCTCAAAGGTCTCTAAATGGATTGTGGAATTTGGAAGCAGCGGACTCTGTCCTTTTGAGATTGAATACATTCAAAACAGCTTACATACTACAAGAATAAGAAATATAATGCCCTTGCTGAAACCAGTTTGGCTCAGTGGTAGAGCGTTGGTCTGCGGACTGAAGGGTCCCAGGTTCGATTCCGGTCAAGGGCATGTACCTGGGTTGCGGGCATATCCCCATAGGGGATGTGCAGGAGGCAGCTGGTCGATGTTTCTCTCTCATCGATGTTTCTAGCTCTCTATCTCTCTCCCTTCCTCTCTGTGAAAAATCAATGGAATATATTTTTAAAAAAAGAAAAGAAAGAAATATAATGCCCTTAACAAAAATGCTCCTTTTTATATTTAAAGGATACAAAAACTTACCTTTGAATTGAAGGTAACATATTTTGGCGTACACATGTCAGCATTTGTTGAATTAGCACTTGTTGCATTTAGCCCTGGGACAATGCAGGGAATCTGAAATTTCTTGTAGATGACCTGATATTAAAAAACATAGGAGAAACAATATAGACTTTATATCAAATAGAGCCAACTAAGGAATAATTATTACACTGCATTGTACTATGGCAAAACCAAACCAACCATTCCAACAAACACTTACCACTATTAGGAAAAAAACCATACAGCTCAAGGAAAATCCACTAGTATAGCCCAGGTACCCTAAAAAAAGTTTTAAAAAATTAAAATTATTGTTATTTCATCAATCAGTTATTTCTTTCAATGATTTTTTTAAAATGTTTTTATTGATTTTAGAGAGGGAGGAAGGGGGAGAGGAGAAAGAGAGAGAGAGCGAGAGCGAGAGCGAGAGCGAGAGCGAGAGCGAGAGCGAGAGAGAGAGAGAGAGAGAGAGAGAGAGAGAGAGAAACATCAATGTGCAAGAGAAATATCAATTGGTTGCATCCTGGGAACTAAACCTGCAACCTGGGAACCGGCAACCTTTCTGGACACGGGATGATACTCAACCACTGAGCCACCCCAGCCCAGGGAATGCATTTTCTCAAGCTCAGTTTGTAGTTCAAATAGTATATATACATGCCAATGTGCATATAAGATTTATTCCTTGTTAGTGCTACTTTATTTGGCAAAAATGTGACTTTAGGTAAAAAAAACATTATTATGAGTTTTGATTCCAGTTCTCCCTGACACACTGGAAAGCAGCTTCCCAGAATTCAGGGGAAAAGAGCCTTCCAAATTTAGTGATGGAATTCTGCTGCTGTCCTCTGATGGAAACCTGTGGCCAAACCCACTCCTCTTCATTATGCACCTATTGTATATGTAATGCTATCAGCCACAATACTTCTCTTCCCAAATGAGAGGCATGCACAGAGAGGGGGTGATTTCTAGGAATAACCTTTTCTAGGGAGCATATGGGGATCTTTACCCTTAGATTGTCTGGCAGATCTCTAACTACCGTGACCTCCAGAGAGGCAGACTTAAGTGGCCTATGGGGGTTTCACTATTCTTATTCCTGGGGGGAGAAAAGTCCTTCTCTACTTAAACTGAAAAGACGTATGGGTATAAACATACAAAAGCCTACACACAGACCCAGAAACCAGAACATTAAGTAGTTTGGGTGTGGTGCTTTGTATGTGTGTGGGTGTGTCTTTTTTAAACGTCTACTTATAGATGATACAGAACAGCTACAGAGGCTGGGTATTTTTCATACAAAACAAAATTTAAAAACCATGGTTAGCAATCATTTTGGGAAGAACTTTAAATGTCCGCCTGGAATTAGCCCAGAATGAAAGGACATGTGTTTTAGAAGGTGTGGGCTGGATGGCAGTGTGGCCACGTGGTTCGATGGGTGACGCTCCCATAAGATCAGACACACTAGTCTCTGATCGTAAGCACACCTGGAAACACCAAATGGATATGACCTAGTGGTTGTTTTCCACTTTCGACTGCTCACTTTTCTCTCTCTCTTTAATGAGGCAAATAACTGAGGTTGGTTAGACTTTGAGCATTTAAGAGTAATTCGCTATACTCTTGGGAATAAACAGAAGCAACTTTTGGTCGTGATATTAGATTTTTTTAAAATTGAATTTTCTAAATAATCAGGAGAATTCCATTTTTTGGATTTTTTCTCGGAATAGCCTCTAAGTGTGAGCTACTGGGAAGATGCCTCCATCGCTCTCTAGAATAATTGCTTAGGAAGTCACACACTGACAGGTGTTTTGTTTTGTTTTTAAAAGCCTTTTTATTGGTTTTAGAGAGAGAAAGGGAGAAGGGGTAGAGGTGGGGAGAGAGAGAGATATCAGAGAGTGAAAAATCAATCGGCTGCCTCCTGCACACTTTCTATCAGGGATTGAGCCCACAGCCCAGGCACACTCCCTGATCAGGACTCGAACTGGCAGCCTTTTGGTGCACAGGATGACGGCCCAACCAACTGAGCCACACTGGCCAGTGGTTTTATCCCATATTAAAGTTGAGACTGATTAATACTTATAATTTATCATTTACTTAATCTTTACTGTACAAGTGAAAGTTGAGGGCAAAGTTGCTCATTTTACTAGGCTTCTGATTTATCTGGGCACAGGAGAGACTACGACAAAAGCAAGATCTTTTCTTACCTAAGTTCTTCAGGAGACACAGAGGGAGAATTATGCTGAAGGTGACGATCACCACCAGGACACGGCCATCCACGTACCAGGCTCTGAAAGACATTTCAGCGGGGAGGTCATATTTCCTTAGAAAAATGACTTTCTTCCCTTTAAGAGTAAAATTTCACAATATGTTTTTAATAATGTTTTATTGTTATTAAATTACAATTATTCAGGTTTTACCCAAACACTTTAACACAACCACTCCTCCTTCACTGCCGTCTTTCCCCGGGTGACGGAAGAAGGGATAATGTTTTCTTTTCCTCCTCTATTGGCCAACGTGGCATTCCTCTGAATTATTTATGTGGCTTCAAAGTTGAATGCACACATTGCTTTCTGTCAGATTACAGCTTGTATCATCAATTATTTAACGAGAAAGTTCCTTTTTGTTTTGCTTCCCTAATATCCTCGAAAAACAAGTCACCACAGGCTCTCTCCCTTATCTCTTGTATTTGACCTAAAATCCTGATTATAGAACACGAGGGACTATGGCTTCGATGATTCCCTTTTGAAAGAAAACAGAGAAACTAAGACCCACAAAGACTATTAAACAAGAGGGAGTCAAAACATAATGGCTGGACCAAATACAGATGCAAAGTTTTCCAGGGTTAACTGCATCTTTAATGAAGGTGGCTCATGTAAGTTTTGCTTCCAAAATGCTACATCCCTTCTTTAAAAAATGGTCTCAGTTTTGTTTTGTTTTTGGTTTTTGTTGTTGTTGTTTTTGCATGTTCTACATCTGTGTTAAAAAATACTCTGTTTCTGTTCCATTTCACAGAAACTAGACATAGATTTTAGGCTCTTGAGAAAATGCAGCATCTACCGTTTTGCAGCCTGACTGATGAATCTGCCTTGGAAATGCTCATATTCAAGGGATTCTCTCTGCTTCTTTTATTTAGATAACTCCAGAGAAAAGTGTTGAAACAACAAACAGAAAAAAAAAAAATCAGCCTGGGGAAAACTCTGCTTCAGCAATTTTCATAAAACAGAAACTTTGGTTAGCTCACATTTCGATTAAAAACATTTTAATTATCTTACAATAAAAGGGTCTATGACTTACGAAAATGTCTCTTCCTTTCCCATTAGGAACTTTATGGCAGAGGGTAGCTCATTTTTGACTATGAAGAGGTAGCTCAGCATTGCTAGAGGAAAATGAGAACATTTTAGAAAGAAGATACCGAGGTTCATGTTGCAAGCCCTATAAAAGGTTACCAGCCTGTTCTTAGACTAACCTTCAGTAAGACACAAAGACAGCGTTAGATACTCTCAGTTTCCTTGGTTTTAAATAAGTGCCTGCTGTCTCCGCTTTACTTTCCATGTTCCATTTTAGCAATGGGAATGATAACTCCTGGAATTACGTTAAAATTCATGTGACCACCCAACCACCAGAATTAGAAAACATCATAATGTTTTTTATTTAAATATATTTTTATTGATTTCAGAGAGAGGAAAGGTGGGGGAGAGAGAGAAATATCAATGATGAGAGAGAGATAGTCGCTGCCTCCTGCATGTACCACACTGGGGATTGGACATGTGCCCTGACTAGAAATTAAACCGTGACCGCCTGACTCAGGTCGACACTCCACCACTGAGCCACACCAGCAGGGCCACCCACTTAGTGTTAAGCATAAAAGCACATTTGTGCTTGTTTTTACCTCCTGTGTTCTGTAGAGAGGTAGCTCCAAAGATGACAAACTTCCCTGTGGTGCCGAAGACCTGCTCTCCCAGCTTCTCATAAACCATGCAACCTATTTAGACGTCACATTTGAGAACACAAGAAATGTCAGGACTCTAAAAGGAAAAACTAGCCAAGATTCATCATGCTACCGACTATTCCCCAAATTATTTCATGTCTTTCTCAAAACCACACAGAAGGCCTTCTTGACTTTGCAAGGACTAAGGCATTCTCGTTATAAAACAACCTTGGCCATTGGTGATGCTCATATGCATGCACACAAGTCCTGTGGTTGATCTCTTATCCCTTCACCGCCTCCCTAACCCCCCACCCCGCCTTCCCTCATAGGTGGGAAGTCTATTTGATACTTCTATGATTCTGGTTCTATTTTTGTTCATCAGTTTATGTTGTTCATTATATTCCACAAATGAGTGAGATCATGTGATATTTATCTTTCCCTGACTGGCTTATTTCACTTGGAGGGTGGGAGTGGCTGGGGAGAGGTCAATGGTGGAAAAGGGACACTTACATAATACTTGAAGCAATAAAGAATTTAAATTAAAAAAACTAAAAAAACAACCTCGACATTTTTAAATGTCAGACATGACCACAAATTCTCCTTTTTTCAGGTTGGCTACCAAAGCATTATAATTCAACCATTAGGTCATAATGCGTATTGTTGACTACCTTAAATAGTCCTTACACTTGACTGGGGGGAAATCCCCACTCTGAGGTGTTGTCAGGTCTGGTGAGTATCATTAAAATAAAGATTTGATTAAAAAATAAAAATCCTGGGAGTTGGGATAAAAGGCTCTTTTTGAATTAATAACCTGAATGTGTAGGCTAACAAAGAACTATCTTAATCATTTCCCATCAATGTCTCCTGTATTCTAAATAGAATAACAAGTTCAGAAACATGTACTAGTCATGCCATCAGAATTCTGATTGTTTGTAAAATTTAGTTCAAAAATAAGCAACTCACCTAGGAGAGCAGTCGAGAAGTCTACCCTAAACAATAATTTGGCTAGAGCAAAGTTCTAAAGTATTCAACTAGCCTTTCTCAAGAAATACTAAAGATTCAAAGCCACTCATTTTTTTTAAAGTGTTTCTATTTCTTTATGACAACTCAGCTCACATTTTTAAAAGGTTCGCAGAAAGTAATATGGGTCAGGCTAAATTAATCTTTTGTTTAATCTCTCATAAGACTGGTGTTTAAACTAGACAATGGTTAGACCCTCAATTTATTACAGAATGTTCCAGTTAAATGGAGTCGTCTATTTACAATAACAGTCGGCCAAGCTAGTTTTAGCGAATGCAGTCAAAGTATTACAAACACAACCCAGGATCCCAGGAATAGAAAATAAACACTTCAGGTATTACACTGCCCAGAGTACTTGAAACCTTTCCCTAGCACATTCACTCCCATCGTCCCTCCGGAGCAACGTTTTTCTCCTTGAAATAGGCACGGAAGAGAATGAAAGCTCTGTTTACTTTTAGAACTTGAAGGCTATAATATAAAAAACATGGGATCCTTGTTCTGCATTTATAAAGATCTGGGGGGGAGGGGGGGGAACCAAAGCCTTTAGAATGAAGTCATCTTAAACTAGAAAAAAGAAAAAAAAAGAGGTATAATTGAGGGTTAACTTTAAATGACGACACCATTGTGCATTCTTCATGACAATTTAATTGCTGTATCTATTTCTCCGGGTAAATACTACTATAGGTCTTCCAGGGATTGTTGGTCAAAGTACTCTTTTACTTTAATAATCAAGTTTCTGAGCAGGGAGAGCATCATTTGTTTACAATTCCATCACCGTCAAAATCATTGCTCCTGGCTTTAACAAAAGTAGACCTAACGGTAGCTTACCTGTTTCCTTCGAACAGATCAACAGAAGGTTTATTGAATATATAGACAGCAGTGTCACCGAAGACAAAAGTACCCTGAAGCAAAGCAAAGAAGTCGTTGTCATAACTGTAAAAGAACATACTCTGACCTTATGTTTTAGAAGGTCAGAGGCTTGTTTATACGGTTAACACTATTTGTAGATGGTATCCGGATTGTGGAACCTATTAGTCATACCTTCTCTAAAATCCTTGATCAAAATGTTCCACCAAATAAAGAACTGCCCATTAGAATCTGAGTAACGAACAGTTCAAATCCTTTACGTAATTCAAAGCCTAAATAGTAATCTGAGGTCATTTCGGTTGGGATGACTCTAAAACAACATTATGAGAGAAAGATTTTGCCCTGTTCCCTCTGAGTAAGGAATGGGAGGGGGGTGAGGGGGGGGTTGGGGAGGCTGGGGGAAGGCTTGCTATGACCCTACTTAGGTCAGTGACCTTGTGACTTTGGGCAACTGGCCCGATTTCTCCCACCTCTAGATCCCTCACCTAGAATACAAAGACACAAGCCAAATAATACCTAGCATTCTTTTCATCCAATTGTCCTATGGCTATTTATGAGTCTGTAGATTGGACCATTGAGATAGTTCACTTTCTTTGCACCTGGTTCCTCTTGAAAGAATAAGCACCTCTTTTAACCGATGGGGGGAATTTTTGACAACCAAGCACAATGAAAATACTTTTTTGGATGATGAACTCGTGTTTTTGTTTTAGTACTTCTGGCTCATTATCAAATCCTCCTCAAGAAAAAGAGCAGTTAAAAGGATGTGGCAGATTACATAGATTTATTTCCTTATCATTTGGTTAAAACAGACATCATCATGGAAACGAGAGCCTATTTATTAAAAAGAAAACATTTCCAATCCCCCCCCCCCCCCCCAATGAAACCACTCACGTCCTGGTGTAGGGAAATACATCCCCAGCATAATACATTACTGTAATTGATTCTCTGTCTGAGTAATTAAGGCAATTATTTTTCTAGCGAGTACTATTGACAGGTCCTTGGCACAACCTGCAGTTCTCTCTGCATGGGCTGCCTCCTTCCCAAACCCTCTCACACCTGCTGAACCTGTGCCGTCGGCCCAGCTCGGATGTCACCTCTTTGGGTGCCTTCCCTTGCCCCAGACAGAAAGACTGTCCTTAGCTTGCTCGGGTTTTATGGCACTTTGTTTCCCCCATATCCACCGGGGGTACAAAATGATCAACTGCAGAGTAGGTGGGCTGCCAGAGCTGGCCAGAACACACCAGAAGAACAGAGCTCAGCAGAAGTAAAACAAACACTGGGAGAAAGAATAGAAACCCCAGTCCTTAGGATGGAGGTTAATAAATAACGGAGAATTTAAATAAAGATATGGCCTTGAGGAAGTGCCTTCATATAGGGACCGAGTTAGGGAAGATCCTTGAACAGGAGGGTGATCAAGAGGGTAAGTCCCTTATTATCTATTCTGGCTGAGGGACACAAGAAACTGAGAGCAAGCATGTTTTATTAACCACTCCAGTAGTTTCGAATATGGAAGGGAACATGATGTGATATGCTCTGCCAGAGAGGAAGACATAGGAGACGGCTGTGGTCTGATGTTTCTTTCATCTTTTAAGATAAACAGTATTTATGTGGAAGAAGTAAGATTTGAGCTTCATTCAGAGTTCACACCTGATTTTAGGGGCACTGCACAGTAAGTGGCAACTTGGACATGTGCATGTGACAGGCCACCGAACCCCAGTTGGAGGTAGGATGGAGGCAATTTAGGATAAGCCATGTGCTACGCTGGAGTGACCATGTACCCTGCTGAGTCAATTCTCCTGGGACTGACCTGAAGAGGAGACTTACACTGGGCCCCAAGCTAATGAGCAAAGAGCATGACCTTGTAGGAGCCATGTGCCCAGCAGAAGGGATGATTACTAAGAGCTACGTAATGATTAACCAAAGGCCCTACATCTGGGCAAATGGGTTACTTATTAGCAAAAGAAATATTCTAAGGAAGCTTCTTGGAAACTGCTCTTGGTCCCCTTTCACACATTCTATTTGGTTGAGTCTCTTTGTACATGATGCTCAGCTGGCCTATGGCCCTTGGCAAGAGATAAAGAATTTCTTCATGAACTATTGCTTCTTCTTCTTTTTTTTTTTTTTTTTTTTAAATGATGGGTGTGTGTTTTTTCATCTGCACCCAAGGATAAGTTTTTCATTGATTCCAGACAGAGAGGAAGAGAGAGAGGAGGAGAGAGAGAAACATCAATCCATTGCCTCACACACGAGCCCCAACCCGGGATTGAACCCTCAACTTGGGCATATGCCCTGACTGGGAATCAAACCCGCAACCCTTCGGTGTGGGGGACGACAGGCTAACCCCTGAGCATACCAGCCAAGGCGCTTCATTTTCCTTTTCAGGTAAGAGAAGGGTTGATCAGGGAATATTTTAGCAGGGAGTTCACCTATCCTGTTCCCCATACTTAACAGCCGAATGAAGTCCTCCCGCAGTGTTGAGAACAATTCCCTGTTCATGTGCCTAAGAGACATAACCCTGTAACCCTACACCCCAGACAACAGGACCTGCGCAATGCGAGTATGACAGCCTCTGCCTTTGGTCACCCAATCTCTGAGGACTCGCCTCTCTTCTCTCCCAAAATACAGATCTTCCCTCCAAAGATTAAAATAAGAACAAAAATATTTTTCTATCAGGTCACCCCTGCGGATCCAAATTCTACATGTAAGATTCTAAGACTGCTTTAGGCTATAACAGACTCTAGCATTAATGGGATTCTGTTTTTAAAGAGTAGGTTCTTAGAAAGGACCAATATGTTGTCTAGTGGGCTATAATGGATCCTAGAAAAGTTTGAGGGTCCAGTCAGAGATGTCAGAGACACAGAAATTGTGACATCTAAATGCAAGTCACCTCAAAGACACAGACAACAGGAGGGTGAAAGTGGGGTAGGGGAGGGTGAAGAAGGTAACGGGGGTCTAATATATTGTGAAGGAGGGCGACTAGACTTTGGGTGGTGAGCACACAATGCAATAAACAAATGAAGTATCACAGAATTGTACACCTGAAACCTATATAATTTTATTAACCAATGTCACCCACATAAATTAACACACCTGCACGCACACGCACACACATGCCTACCTATAAGATGAGATCATATGAGGTGCTCCCGCCCTGGCAGCAGAGCCCCTGGAAGAGGTGGAGGTGAAGCGGCAGTCACCCCTGCGGATCCAGAAACAGCTCGGATGAGGCTGCCACGCAGGTGAGTGAGTGCTTTCAACTCTCCCAGGACCCACTCCTCTCAAAGTCCAGAACCCTCGCCGGCCGTCCCAGCACGCCTCTCCCTGACCTCTCCCAGCCAGTGATGGGTAAAGCAGCTTTTCTCAGTTCAGTGTGTGAGTGAATGATGTCAGGATCTTGTCAGTGAGGATTCCGATTGAGGTCTCGGGTGGGACGTTTTAACAGGCTCCCAGGTGATGCAGTGATGCCGGTCCATGGGCCCCTCTCTCTTGAGCTTTGGCCCCGTGGTTTGTACATCTCAGTGTTTCTGATCCTCACAACCACTGACGTAGGGCCAAACTGCCCGCCACACCGTCTGCAGGTGGGTGCCAGGCCAGTGTGCCAGCGTGATTACCCGTAACGTGGGCCCACAGCTGCGCGGGCGGGTGAGACTGCGTTGAGAGCTGAATGATCATCATTCCCTGAGTCACTGACCTGCCCTCAGGGTGAAGGCAAGGTCTTATCTGCCTCCTTTGGTTGACTTCCTTGGGGCATTAGGGCCTTGAGGTATATATTCACCAAGGTTTATTTTCCCACCCACTCCTGTCTGCCTCATCCAGCCTGTTCCTTTCCCGTGGCTCTCTGGGCCAGACAGCCAGGGACGCCAAAGGCCTGGAGTAACCTCAGTCCCCAGTCCCCAGTCCTGGGAGGCTCCGGGGCGGAGAGCTGGGCCCTCTGCTGGGGCTGGCAGGTTGGCCTCCCTCACATACACAGCAGCTGGAGTCCTGTGCTGCTGCCTCCCGCTGTCCACTCCCAAGGCACCAGACCAACGAGTCTTCCTTTTGTCCTCATGGCCTCGGGCCAGTTTTTCATAGCCTTAGTAGTATCTGGCTCCGTACTTAGAAATAAAATACATGTCCTCCAAGGTATATTTTTCTTATTTTCAACTCCACACCGCTCCTCCGCCAGCCATGTTGTGAGGCTCAGCGCCCTATATAACTCTTCCTCTTCTAAACCTGGTCAAAGGTATAAAACGTTTACCACCCTCCACCCAATGAGCAGAAAGTCCGCATAAAAATTCCCTGCACTGGAGGAAAAGTGATCTTTAGCACCATCCTACTTTACAAAAATAAAAAATATATATATATGTGTGTGTGTGTGTGTGTGTATGTATATATTTTATTGATTTTTTGCAGAGAGGAAGGGAGATGGATAGAGAGCTAGAAACATCAATGAAGAGAAACATCGATCAGCTGCCTTCTGTACACCCCCGACCGGGGATGTGCCCAGGCCTGCACTCCACAACTCAAGGACATATATGCTGGTTGAGGCAAAATATCTACACAAAAATGTACAAGGAGACATATTGTTTACCGGCCAACCATCCTCCAGTCCTTCCTCCTGCTGTGACCTCTCCTTCAGTCTCTTCTACCTCTTACCTTTCTTCTACATTTCCAAACTCCTCCTCCTGCACCTTTTCATTCTTCTTTTATTGCCACTAACTCCACCTCCGGTTCCTTCCAAGGGAAACTTCTGTATGAAGTGAGTAAAGATTTAAAAGCACTGCTGAGCGGGGCACAGTGCTAGCTGGGGAAGAAGGGAGCTCTGGGTGCCCTGGAGAACCCAACTGAGAATGGTCAGATGTGGGGGTTTCCCGGGCTAGGGTGCTGGCCGGCCAGTGGGAAAGGAAAGTCAGCGGGTGGGGGAAAGAGACGGCTTTCGGTGAGGGCCCGAGCAGGGAAGGCAACGCAGGCCAGCAGTTCTCAGGGACATTCAGGGACAGAGACAGTGGGAGTACGGAGGCAAGGCTGGATGCTGGGAGTAGAAGAGATTGTGGCC